ACCATTCTAGTATTGCTCTAATTAATTCCTGAACTTGTTTCATTTCTTTTTCTTTTCACCTTTTCCAGGTGGATATTTTTCACATTTTCATGTTCTTTATTCCAGTATTCACTCTGGAGCCATACTGGTTTTAAATTCTCACCCCTTTATTTATTTTTTTAATATCTCATGACTTCTATATTTAATATTTCTAGGTTCTGGAGAAGACATCAAAAGGTGAAAGAACAAGTCTCTCCACTCAAGGAGTTTTTATTTCTGCAGACATTCATATGTCTTCAAGAAACTGTCAGACCAGGATGAATGTACTATGGCCCACAAGGGAGGCATTAAGTGCTACGGTGGTGAAAAGGCTATGATAACTAAAGGAAATTTTCCAGATCCCCAGAAGAGAACTGAAATCACTTTCAGTTGGCAGGAATCAGAAAATGCTTACGGAGGAGACCTAATGAATTTATTTTTAAAAGTTAAATGAAATTAGATAAAATTTAATAAGCATTAAATTTAAGAGTGGGGACTATGTCTGATTCTTCATTTTATCCCTCATATCTAGAACTGGAGCCCAGAACCTAGTGGTAATTTAATTAATCAAAAAATATTTGTTGGACTGATCTTGAATAATTGAATTAAACCCTAAACAATGAGTAGGACTTCAATTAAGTTAACACCGGGATGCACAGAGCTGGTCTTTCCAAAGAAAAGACACCTACAGCATGAGAAAAATAAGGAAAGAGGAAAATGCTAGCACAGAGTAATCCATCCTAATTTGGGTGGATGAAAGTTTTCACAGAAAAAGCCCTATTTGAAAGTTGAATGATTTTACGTGAAACACACAAGTTGCAGTGCTGTGGTGAAAATTGGAGTCTGATATCAGGAAGATGTACAATGAGAAGGTGGTGAGAGAGTAAAACAATCAGGGTGGATTCTTTATTTCAGACTTCTGGCTGAATGGGAGATGAATGAAATTGGGCGGGGAGAGAATTTTTATGTTAGAGAGAGTAACATAAATTCGTAGGGAGAGAAAGAGAGAGAGAAGGAAATATGAAGATGCAAGTGGAAAAGAAGGCAAGATAGAGGGGGCAGGAACTCTTAGGACACATGAAGGCACAGGATCAAAATCAAAGGAGTGAGAGATCCAGGACTAGATAGACACAGGCCTCACCTTGGCTTTGCTATTAGCTATTTAATTTGATCTGGAGCAGATCACTGAATTCTGAGTTTGTTTTCTCATCTGTAAAATGGAGATGAAACGTAAATCATCAGAGTATGATGTCTAAAAAAAATAACTTTTGTTAAATACTTGGCATACATAGCATGCCACTATAAAAATAAGTATGTTTTTGGTGGAATCATACAGACCATACATCTGCTCATAGAATATATGAATATAGATAAGTGTATTGGTTTCCTAGGGCTTCTATAGTTCTTTTTTTTTTTTAAGATTTATATATTTATTTTAGAGAGACAGAAAGAGAGTGGGGGGGAGGGGTAGAGGGAGAAAGAGAGAAACTTGAGCAGACTCCCCACTGAACGTGGAGCCCAAAGCTGGGCTCCATCTCAGGAGCCTGTGATCCTGACCTGAGCCGAAATCAAGAGTCGACCACTTAACCGACTGAGCCACCCAGGCACCCTGGTTCCCTAAGGCATCTATAACAAAGTACCACCAACTGGATGGCTCAAAACAATAGAAATTTATTATCTCACCATTCAAGAGCCAGAAGTCCAAAACCGAAGTGTCAGCACATTTGATTCCTTCTTGGGGGATCAGAGGGAGAATATGTTCTATGCCTCTCTCCTAACTTTTGGTGGTTGCTGGCAATCCTTGGTGTTCCTAGGCTTATAGCAACATAAATCCAATCTCTGCCTCTGCTGCAACATGGCCTTCTCCCTGTGTGTCCCTGTGTGTTCCTGTCGTCTCTCCTTTTTCTTATAAGGACTCCAGTCATGTTGGATTTAGAGCCCACTCCAGTACAATCTCAGTCTTAACTACTTACATGTGCAAAGACCCTCTTTCCAAACAAGGTCACATTCTGAGATTCCAGGTTGGCATGAATTTTGGGGGGACACTATTCAATCCAAGAAGTATGTTCCTAACTTATCCTTACTTTTGTAATGTCTTCAAGAGGCCATTAACATAAGAACCAGGCTTTGGGCCTAAGGGGGGAAGAAAGCAAAATGGCTGAGAGCTCAGTTCATGAACTTTGAATTCCTTCTATTCCTCTTCCCAATTGTGTAGCCTTGGAGACCACATCCTCTTTAGTTGATAATTTTCTCATCCAATAAACAGGGAGTAGTACTTCAAAGTGTTTCGGGGAGGACTAAGTAAAGTAATATAAGTAATGCACTTAGTCTGGTACCTGGCCCAGAAGGACAGTGCTTTGCTCACTCAAAGGAGCCTAACCTGTGCTGTAGGTGGGGTGGAAGTGGGGTTTCTGTTCACATAAACAAAGATGATTCATCCTTTTCATCTAGTTGCCAGCTACAAGCACTGTTTGCAGAGCCATTTGCATTGTTTTCACTAATCATTTTGCTACTGAGATTTCTCCATGTCTGGTTATTCAATACTAACATGAATGATTTACCACCATTGGTGACCCACATTCCTTAAAAATGCTGGGTCACATGTCATTGTCCTTCAATGTCTAGCATTTCAGTTTGCCCATCGACTTTATAACACTTTATTGCTGCATAACCCAAAACAACTGCTTAAATATAACCATCACCACCATCATCTTCTTCCTTAAGTTGTTTTGGAAAGAATACTATTTAAATATATAAATAAATAATGTCTTAAGTTTTGTAAATGTAATACATTATCTTATAACTCTTACAGGTAGAAAACCTGGTATTTTATATAAATTTTTTAAAATAAGAAAATTGATGTTCAAAATAGTTACATGACAGAGTTGTTTTTTTTTTTTTAAGTAATCTCTACACACAGTATGGGGCTTGACCTTACAACCCTGAGATCAAGAGTCCCATGCTCTACCTACTTGAGCCAGCCTGACGCCCCAAAGTAGCTATATGAGAAATACAACACTTCATTGTATCCTGATGGATGGAGATGTCATATAACTATATCTTCCACAGTGCGTGGCTTTTGTTGGCCATATTCTAGGAGTTCATTGTTTATCATCTGGTAATGAAATATAAACAATTTTAATCGATATATGCAGTCTGTGGTAGTCACTATTTTATCCTAAAGAAAACTCACTATTCTACCTTTGAATATACTTAAAGGTGGCCTGAACTTATATTGTCAAAATCTATATTGGTCTCCTGTTGGTTTGCTTGATTTAACACTCCATTTTGTTAGCTTGTTGTTTTCTAATATGCTACACTAGAAGTTTGAAGGGGAAGTGACAATTTGAACAAACCCTTTGTTATTCATGATGCACTTTTATTTTTTATTTTTTACTACTTTTTAAAAGTTTATTTATTTTCAAGTAATCTCCACACACAGTGTGGGGCTCGAGCTCATGATCCCAAGATCAAGAGTCACAGCTCTTCTGACTGAGTCAGCCAGACTCCCCAATGCATTTTTTTTTTTAAGATTTTATTTACTTGAGAAAGAGAGAGAGGGGGGGAGAAGCAGGCTCCCCGCTGAACAGGGAGCCAGATGCAGGGATGGATCCCAGGACCCTGGGATCATGACCTGAGCTGAAGGCAGATGCTTAACCGACTGAGCCATCTTGGCACCCCTTCCCGGTGCATTTTTATGTCATGAGTCCAAACTCCTGTATTCCATTGATTTTGTGGAGCGATGTACACATACAGCACAGGAATGTAGTATCCTTTAACACTATGTTTCCAGTCACCCAATGGGCAAATAGTCTTTGGATTTTAAGTGATTTGAAGAATCTCTGTATGCTATTGCCTGTTATAAAGTGGATGCATAACTAGGCAGGCAAGGAATTTTACAGAGTGACTTGTAACATTAGGACGAATTATGCATTGATTTCAAATCTCCGAAAGCCCAAGGCTGTGTATCAACTACCTGAACCTAGAGAAAGAAAATGCACTGGAATGCCTTGCCACTTATAACAAGTTGCGCACGCTTTAGATTTGGTATTTTGGTTCCACTTGTATTCCAGAGTGTATCTATACTATCCTTTTGGTTCACTTTATAGTAAGTAGAGCGATTTCCATTTATAACAGCTACATATGACAAGGAAATGCTTATAAAAGAGCTCAGTGCAGGTGTGCGAGCGACAACACTAGGCTGTTCCCGCGTCTTCCAAATTCAGTGGGAGATGAACTGAGAACTCTTTTCTCCACGTCTCATTTCTGTGTCTGTGATATGTTAGCCCGGTATTCCACTACACATACTTTTTTTTTAACAGAACACAGATTTCATGAGTTTGTGGCTTTCCTGAACTTCCTTTTTAAAAAATCCTGGATGGTATTGCAGATGAAAGTGATCCCCATTACTTTTTAAATTGCACTTTGCAAATAAAAATATAAACATTTCTGAAAGTTTCAGAACACTCTAAACCCCCAGGAATGTTGATATTGATAGAAACCCGCAGAGATTAAGCAATTTAGAGATCTGGAATAAATAGGCACCACTTGGCAGTGGGTTTGGTAAAGAGAAAGCATTTCAGCACATGTTCTGCCACAAAGTATTTGGGAGTCTTAAGTCAGAGCTGCAGAATTCCTTCTGAAGAGGACAAAAGAGAGACTTCCTGTCATTTCCATTGGTTTCTGCATGTGGGACCAATATGGGCAATGCAAAGTTTAAACAGATGCAAATGGTGAGGGGAGGGGGCCGAGCCCTGCCTTGTTTTACATATCTCTCCACCTCCAGATTGAATTTAAGTCAGTCTCTCCTAGGCGCTTCCCCAGTAGACTGCCACTAAGTTACCGCACGCTTGAATGGTTTATTTCACCAATATTTGCTTATGGAAATAAAGGGGAGTGCCGGGGGTGGGGGAGGGGGAGGAGGGGAGGAGGGGTTTGCGACCGAGGGAGGCTCGACCACAGCACCAGTAACCTTGTCTGATGTGATCATTAACCTTTCTGGCAGTTGTCTGAGGTTCGTCAGTAGAATGTGAGCGGAGACACGCAGACACCGCACAGACTATTCCAAGACTGGTTTACGTTGAGATCTGTTGCTCTGCTTTAGTGCGGCAGAAAAATGAGGTTGCAACAATTTCTTTTTGCGTTTCTGCTTTTCGCGATGGGTCTTCTTCTTATCAACGGACAGAGACCAGGTAGGACTTTGATACATGTGTACCGAGTAACTTGGTTCTGCCTGTTTGGGCCCTTGGGTGGGGAGCATGATCATGGTCCTGCTCAAAATCACTTAGGTGTGTTCAGAGGTATTGGTAAGCGTGTAGGATTTCAGGAGTATGTTATCTCTCCTGTTAGGTCTATTATTTGAATGTTTTAAAAAGTAGGTGGGTTTTTAAATGATGATAAATATTTTGCCACTGTTTTTCCTAAATTCAAAGAAAATTGATTCCTTAGCTATTTTAGATACGTTGCCCTTATAAGTAAAAAAGAAATGGAACTGTTTGGTCTATTCATTACAGAGGTCAACAAACTTTTACGGATATCCAAAATACAAATCCAAAATCCAAAGCGGTTGATTAGAAGAACATGTTGCTGGCTGGAGTGGGGCAATGTTAACAATTTGAATTAACAACAGAAAAATCATGTGACAAAATGCAGATGAAATCTTAAAACAGTTATGAAAGCTGTTATTTCTAGTTATATAATTACATGTCTTACTTTAAAAATGCAATTTTTAGTATTATTGTGCTAATACAGCCAAAAATGTCAAAAGTATTTATGGTCAAGATAATATTAATTGGTTTGACACATTTTTCAAAGATGATCTGTGTTGTGTTGTTCTTAACCAACAAGAATTAGTAAGCAGTCATTCTAATGTGCTTTTACTTCAAAACCAGATATCTAAGATTTCAAAGCACTGGCAAGTAAAAAAAATTAGGTTTTCTGACTCAGGAAAAGGCAAACCCACATTTAAATAGAAAGGTGGTAATATTTATTCCAAATACATTATATTATTCAGTTGGTGATATACTTCTCCATTTGGAGCAGAAAAGGGTGCATAACTGGTTAAAAATTCAGTCTCTCCCTTTTAGTTAATCAGAAGTTTGATCACTGAGGTTATTTCAAATGACGTCCCCCAGTTTGTCCTTGTACATAAATAAGAGAGAATGTGCAAATCAGCAATTCAGAAAACAGCTGACCCCTTCTTACAGTTTATAGCAATTGCTAATCAAACTTTTCTGAACTACAGAACACCTTGGACAATGTTCTTATAAAATATCTGTGATTGATTCATTACGTAAGATGAAAGGTCCAAGAGCATTTAGGAAGAAGTCATGTGGAAGGAGGAGGTTACTACTAATAGATCCTGCTATAAACATGAGCTGTTAGGAATATATTTCGTGTTTTTGCATCACATTAATTTTTATGTCACAATCACATCTGAACAGGTAGCAAATAATCACAACATAGTTTGGATGCAAAATGTCCCTTCACATTCTCCCAATTAAACAACAGTTCATTTTCTGAAAAATGCTCCTAATATTTCCCTTTTTTTTTCTCAGCTAATTTGGCAATGAGAAGAAAATTGCACAGACACAACTGCATTCAGAGAAGATGTGTGCCTCTCCATTCACGGGTGCCTTTCCCCTGAGGTATTTCTGATAGAAAATTGTTTTACTACATCTAGGCAATGTTCCAGATGAGATATATCAAAGAAGGTCCATTTATATTTTGTAATATGATAATACCTTTAAGGTGATACCAGTTCAAGGGATGCATACTGACAAACAAAACAGTATCTTTAAACATGTGTTTTGAAAAACACTGAATAGCTCTGTATGCTATCCAGAACAAGCACATTTCCCACTAAGACCACTGTGTCCTTGAAAGCATTTGGACATATTTGCTCAATGACACCATATAAATGATGTACCATTCTCTGTATTTAAATAATTTATTAAAATAGTTTTTCTTGACAATATTTCTTTTAATGTATAAAAACAATTTAATATTAATACCATGGCAGTTTTCCAGCCTTACTCATAGAATTGGTCTTGATGGTTGTTGCATCTTTAAGGATAAATTCTAAATAGAATTTTGCTCCTTTCCTCTCTCTCTCTCTTTTTTTTATTTACATATTGAAAGGCCAATGATTTTATCCACTACCACTACCAGTAATACTGCTTGAACCAATTAACTTCAAACACTGCCCAAGTGTGTATTTCTTCATACTAAAAAATAAGTGACTTGGCATTCCATTGTAATTATTTTAAGCTCTTTAATTCTTATAAAATATATCATCCTTTAAAAAAATGCCATTGAAATATCCCTCAGCTGGTTAGCATACATAGGCAATTGCTGAATTAGCTTATTCAGTTGGTCTGTAGACTCTTGTGTTTATGGCACCATTCATTCAAGGAGAATGGTTGCCACGCCTCTTGTTGAATACATGCTTTTCAAACCTGGTGAAAGTCCCATAGTGGGACATTAAATGAAGGAGCAATTCAGGAATCATTTATCAAGAGGGCTAAGACAAAAAGCCAAGTTCTCTACACCTGTATCTGTAACAAATTACCCTTTGCTATCAAAATAAGAAAAATAGGTTTGGTGGAAAAATCCAGAAAAATACAGTAAGAAATTCCTGAGAAGCCAATTAACAGGGGCTGAAACGTTTTCGATGCTAAAAAATCCTTTGGCATATGTCAATAATGCATTTCAGTCCCACATATAAATAGCGGTAAAATCTGTGCTTCGGAGGAGTGGAGAAGTTCAAGACTTTCCCAGCACGCCTCCACAAATAACAAAGAGGAGAGGGGGCAGTTGGCAGTAGCAAGGGAATTCCTGCATATACCGAGAAAGATACCTTACGTAAAGCAAAGCAAAGCCCTCAGGTAGCCACCGGTGGTATCAGCTCTCTCCGCAAACCACCTGCCCTAAAAACTAGGGTCGCAAGTAAACAAGATAGAGTAGTGAAATTTGAATTGGCAAAGTTAAGGAAAACTTTGATCTATAAACCAGATTTGTAAATCAAAGGAAAATCTAAATAAAAGCCTTGTAAACCATTTAATAAAAGCAATCCTTTACAAAATTTGGCTGATTGCTGTAAAGGCCTGCTCAGCTTACAGCATCGATTTTCTCATCTCTGTTTAGCCTAGTCCTGCATTCCAGTTAATAGGTTCTTCAAAGAATATATAAAACTCCCATTTTGAAATCCAGTGATAGCATAAGAACTGTGTGGAATAAATATTAAGATAATTTTCCAAGATCTTGCTCAACGAGTGCTCTAATAACAAATGCTACCTTCAGATGTGAAAGCATAATCCTCATTGTCCTAAATACTTGCACACTTTTTTGTATGTCCTGCAACACAACAACTTGGCGGCTGGCTAAATCACTATAGACCTAGGTAGTGAAACTCTAAGGCAGAATCCCCCTTTCATTTATCCGCCTCTGTATTTTGCATGTTTTATGTTTGTTTGTTTATTTATTAAGTGTTTTTTATGTAAGGTTTACGCCCAGCGTGGGGCTTGAACTCACGACCCCAAGATCAAGAGTCACATGCTCTACTGACTGAGCCAGCCAGGCGCCCCTGTTTTCTGCATGTTTTAGATAAAAATCACACATTGTTATTTGATTCAGCTAGGGTCATGTAAAACTGGAAAAGGATAGATAAGGTAAACAGTTGACTTTGGAAATTGTCCAGATTAACCTTCCAAATAGCTTAGACTTTTAGCTCCCTTAATAAGAATGCCCTGTTATCATTACTATGTAACTTTTACCAGCTCCTAGAGTCCTCCTCCATGATCCTCAGTGACATTTCCCAACCTGTACAACTGAGTTAGAGAAATCTATGCTGTGTAAATTTCATTCTCTCTCTTTTTTTCTTAAAGATTTTAGTGATTTATTTGACAGAGAGAGAGAGCACAAGTAGGCAGAGTGGCAGGCAGAGGGAGAGGGAGAAGCAGGCTCCCCGCTGAGCGTGGAGCCCGATGTGGGCTCAATCCCAGGACTCCGGGATCAGGACTGGAGCCAAAGGCAGACGTTTAACCAACTGAGCCACCCAGGCGCCCCTAAAATTCATTCTCTTGATAACTGTTTTCTCTTGCTGAAATATGTTGGCATCACGTTGAGCCCTAAGTGAATTAGAGTGGAGGAAAACAAGAGAGAGGGTGTCAGGAAATCCAAGTTTACAGGCTAATTTGAGAGTTTTAGAGTGGAAAATGAGGTAGGATCCTTAGATTCTAATTTTCCTCTTTCAGCCATAAAATCTCACTGTATCAATGCTTTTCTTTATAAATATGTACTCTAGGGGCACCTGGGCAGCTCATTTGGTTAAGGATCTACCTACAGCTCAGGTCATGATCCCAGGGTCTTGGGATCTGCTCCTCCCTTTCCCTCTGCTCTTAACCCCAGCTCGTGTTCTCTCTCTCTCTGTCTCAAATAAATAAATAAAATCTTTAAAATAAATACATACATACATACATACATACTCCAGATAACTACATAACCTGTTAAAACATACTCTCATTTTTTTTTTGTTTAAGTTATCTCTACACCCAACATGGGGCTTGAACTCATGAGATCAAGAGTCATGTGCTCCACCAACTGAGCCAGCCAGGCACCCCTCTCTAGCTTTTTAATGATTGTGACATATGTTCATGGTGTAAAATCTTTTCCTAACAGTATGAAAAAATGTAAAAAGTAAAAAGTCTCCCAGTCTAACCTTTGGCCCCTTTTCATTTCCCAGAGGCAATGGCTATTAAAAGGTTTCTGGTAAAGTAGATTTATTTTTTTTTTAATTTTTAAAAAAGATTTTGTTTATTTTAGCAAAAGAGCTCATGAACAGGGGTGGGAGGGTGGGGAAGGAGGCCTGAGGAGGAGGGAGGGGGAAAGAATCTCAAGCGACTCCACACTGAGCACCAAGGCAGGGCGGGTGAGGGGTTTGATCTCATGACCCTGAGATCCCAACCTGAGCCGAAACCAAGAGTCAGATGCTTAACTGACTGAGCCACCCAGGCACCCTGGTAAAGGTACATTTTAATACATTAGTTCAAATTGAGACCAGCTAATCTTCTCTTGACACTCTTGATTACCATTCAGAACGTTAAGTACTTATATGTTCTCTATTCTCTGCCTTATTCTTACCCCCTCGAAGTTGTGGGCTTCTGACTCTTTTGACCAGTCCTCTAGCCCTGCCTGCCAATTCTTTCTGTAATTGTCCTATTTATTGTCTCGGCCCTTCTCATTCCATGCTGCCTCTGGCTGAACTGTGAAAGCCAACTCTCTAAAGCACAGAATCTCTACTTTTGTGGAGCATTTTATCTTCAACATTAGCAGGACTTTCTGAGAAAAACTCTCAAGTTTTTTTATTTATTTATTTTTTAGTAACCTCTACACTCAGTGTGGGGCTTGAACTCACAACCTCAAGATCAAGAGTCCCATGCTCTTCCGACTGAGCCAGCCAGGTGCCCCTGGGAAAAACTCTTCTACTTACTTTTAGGCACCTCTGATCCCCATTCACCTACATTTAAACCTCTAATGACCTCCAGTTTCCTCGAACTTCTTAACCTTTTCCCACTCACGACAAGAGATAATTTCTCTTCCCAGAGAAAATGGAGATCATCAAGCTTTAAAATCAGACTCACTCAAACTACATTTACATATGCTATACTTATATTTTCCCTTTGTAGTCTTTTAAGAGATTCCTCTCCTGGGCGTGGTTAATCTCTCTGCACCTCAAGAACCTTGATCTAACAATCACTCCCTTTCTTCCTCAGATTGTTCAATATGTCACAACTGATCTGTTTCATCTTTTAAAAAGAGGAAAACACGTTCACCACTGACCCCATAGTGCTCTCTAGGGACTAGCCCATGTTCTTCTCTGCATAGTCAAATTTCTTGAAAAGGTGCCTGTTTCCTTTCTTACTGTCTGCTCCCCACTGCGTTCTGGGAAAGATCTCCAGTGACTTCTCAATCCAGTGAACACATTTTGATTCTGGTCTGTTATCTTGCTATGGGTCAAACAGTGAATAGATTTTCCTTGGTTTTGGTGATGATACCATGCTCCCTTTAGATTATTTATCTCAGAGATGAATCACTACTCCTTTCGGTACCTGTACGGGATGTCCACTTGCCTCCTTGGAATCACCTTAGCTGTTCTGAGTCACTTCAAGTTCAATACCAGGGTGCCTAGGTGGCACAGTCAGTTAAGCGCCTAACTCTTGATTTCTGCTCAGGTCGTGATCTTAGGGTCGTGAGATTGAGCCCCACGTCGGGCTCTGTGCTCTGTGTGAGTCTGCTTAAGTTTCTCTTTCCCTCTGCCCCTCTTCCCCCTGCCGGCTCTCTCTTTCTCTGTCTCCCAAACAAATAAATAAATCTTTAGAACATTTTTAAAAATTAAAAAAATAAATAAGCAATACAAAAATAAACTCATGTAAAAAAAAGTACCTCATCCTACCTGGGATACCTCCTATTTCCCTTTTCCTGGTTTATTTTTCTCCATGACACCTGCCATCTGATATAACATATTTACCTTGTTATTGTTTAGTATCTGCCCCTCTTCATTAGAATGTAAGTTCTGTAAGAACAGACTTTGCTTTGATCACAACTATATGCCCAGTGACTGTGGTAAGCTCCACAGAATATTTGATGAGTGAATGAATGCACACTTAAAAGTAAACTCTTCAATTCCTCCCGCTCAGATATGTCTCCTGTGTTCTCAGAATTTGGAGAATAACTGTAGAGCTATCATATATTATATGTTTACTATGTATCAAACTGTGCTAAGAAATACACATTTTACCTTCACAATGTAAATTTTTAAAAATTTTTTTAAAGGTTTTATTTATTTATTTGAGAGAGAGAGAGAGAGCACAAGCAGGGGGAGAGGGAGAAGCAGACTCCCCGCTAAGCAGGAAGCCCAGTGCAGGACTCGATCCCAGCACCCTGGGATCATGACCTGAGCTGGAGGCAGACACTTAACCCACTGAGCCACCCAGGTGTCCCTCAGTGTAAATTTCTGAGCTGCCGGGGCTCTAATACTCAGTTCTAGTTGGTTTCCCAGGCCTATCATTTCATTCTCTTAGTACCTGTTATAGCTCTCCAGCAGGACTTCAGCTCCTTAACTGATCACTCCAGCCTCCAGTTCCAGTTCGGGAAAAGCCTTTTTTTTTTTTTTTTATCATGCGATTCTTCCTAAACTGAAAATCCGACCATGTCACATCTTGATTAAAATTCTTAACTGTCCCTGTAGCCTTTGGGACAGTGAGAACTCCCATAACTTAAGAAACAAGACCTTACAAAATATGCCTCTCCAGCATCATCTGCTACCTCTTCTCCCCTTCCCTCTCCTAGAGGGGATAAGAAAGAATTAACACCAGCCATTGTGGATTCGAGCTCTGACCACAAGCTCACTCACTGGTGGTCCTTGGTAAGTCACTCGTCCTCCTTAAGAACCCCTCCACTTCCAGACCTGTAAGATGGAGCTAGTAATGGTATTAACTTTGTCATATCCTACCTAGCACATGGTAACTGCTAAATCGATAGTAGCTCTTTACTATTATTAACATCACTTTAAAGTTAGTCTATTCTTCACCTCTTGCTGTTCCTCAAAGTATACTTCTGCCTGCAGTGTCCTTACCTGACTCTTTTCCTCGCTATTAATTCATCCTTCAAGAAACCGTCCCAGAGTTTGATACCCCTACCAATTGTATTAGATGTCTACATTTTCTCTCAACCTGTTTGTATAATCTGTCACAAAGAACTTGACTCACTGCATTGTAGCACCTTAACTGGCTGTACTCCTCCCTTCCCAGCATGCTGTAAATTCCCTGAAGGCAGAGGGTGGGTGTTCTGCTTTGTTACATTAACATTTGTTAAGTGGAGCACCTAGTACAGAACAATGAGCCTGGTGAGCCTTAGTTCAAAAGCTGGCCAATAAGTAAACTGTAATAGAGAAATGTATTACTCATAGGTCCTGGAGGAAGAACAGGGCATGCCTGGAGGGGCCACCTGGGGAGGTCAAGGGAGAATGCAGACCTAGAGAGGCACATGCCTTTATTAGGGACTGGGTGGAGTGCTTTGGGGTTCCTGGGCTGGGGTCTGATCCGGTCAATTCAAACCAAAAGAGGTGGGGGGTGGGGGGGTTGCCCCACAAGGGTTCTTATCTAAGGGGTACGTAATATATACAGGCCCTGGAAGGCAAGGGAGATTTGATCACAAGGGCTGTTGGGGAAGTGATACCGAGAACTTATATTTCTTTGCTTCTTTGCGGGTGGCTCTGCGGCTGCTCACCACAGGAGCTTGCCGGAGGGGCTGGTGTCATGCAAGGCCCCTGCAGGCCACTTGGCCACACAAAATGGATCCAGAGGCAGCAGTACCATGGAGTGGCTTAGCGAACCTCTCAGCAGTGGGTTGTATTGATCTTTGCATCGTTAGCCGATGAAAGTGTCCCGAATATAGCAGGCATTCCAGAAATGTTGCTAACAGAAATGAAGTGAATCTTTGAGTTATTATCTTAGCATTTAAGACTTACTACAATGAGACCCTAACACACATTTTAAGCTTTATTTCCTAACATTAACTGACAAACTGAACTCTTGAGTAGCGGCTAATCCAAATTCATCAGGCCTTCCAAAGGGCTGACCATCCTTCTCCAGACCCACTGGTCCTCGCGAGTCTTTACTTCCTCCCGCTAAGATTTTATAATTCATTATTTCCATAATTGCTGCCAACATTGTAGGTCACCCTGTTGCTCTGTCTTCATCACATTGTTCTGGAAGAATCCTGAAGTCTTCATCCAGGCATGTTCCTGCTGCTGGAGAATACAGAAGTCAGACTGGAACCACTTTTAAATTCATCATCTCCCACTCACCATCCAGCAAGCAAGTTCTACTCACCTCTAGTTTTAGGCCTTTCTCCTTTGCATTTTCAGCAGATGGCCTTGCCTCTTATATTACAAAGAAAAGAGAAGTCACTGGGGTGTCTGGGTGGCTCAGTCATTAAGCATCTGCCTTCGGCTCAGGTCATGATCCCAGGGTCCTGGGATCGAGTCCCACATCGGGCTCCCTGCTTCTCCCTCTCCCACTCCCCCTGCTTGTGTTCCCTCTCTCGCTGTGTCTCTCAATGTCAAATAAATAAATAAAATCTTAAAAAAAGAAAAGAGAAGTCATCAAAGGGTGTATCCCTCAACTTCCCAGCACCAAACTAGAATCCCATCTAATCCACTTCCCACCCTGCTCACCCCCATCTTCTTCTGCCCTCCTGCTGCCATGGAAAGCATGGCCATTCCTTCATTTGTGTTGTAGGTCCTGCCCATCCCTTCCCACTTTGTCAGGAATCTGAAACTGCCACTTAAAACATTTTCTTCCTTCTCCTTTCTCTATGGATTATGTATCAACATACAGGTTTAAACATTGATAAGAGTGAGGCCTAGGGTGGCTCAATCGGTTAAGCGTTTGCCTTTGGCTCAGGTCCTGGGATCAAGTCCGCATGGGACTGAGCAGGGAGCCTGCTTCTCCCTCTGCCTGCCGCTTCCCCTGCTTGTGCTTGCACTCTCTCTCTCACAAATAAATAAATAAAATCCTTAAAAAAATAAAATAAATGCTGATAAGACTACATACTAAAACAACACACACACCCATGCACTTCTCAGTGAATGGTCTCAAGCCAGTCTTTTGTACTCCTCATTTTTGATCCACATTTTCTTTTTTCTTTTTTAATATTTTTGTTACCTTTTTTTTTTTTTTTAAGTAAACGCTACACCTAACACGATGCTCGAACTCACTGTTTTTTTCTCTGTCAGTGTTCATGGTGCACGGCTCTTGGTCATGCCGCTTCGAAGAATGAAGAGGTAGACCAGATGGACTGGTAGGCAGCAAAGCAAGTTTGTTGAGTGATAGTAAAGTGGTAGTACAAAGCTCCTGAGAAGGGAGGGGACCCGAGAGAGTTGCCAGCAGAATTTCTAAGTCTAAAGGTTTTTATGGGCTCCTTGGCTGCGTCGTCCAACCAGGTTTTTGTCACATGGGAAAGGGTGGAGGGCTCCTTCCAGGGTGGTGTAAAATCCTTTTAAGTGTGGTTTCCTTTTAGGGTTAGGGAGAGCCTTGTCACTGCTGGCCTGCCTGCCTTCCAACTATCCTTCATCACGACCCGAGATCAAGAGTTGTATGCTCTTATTGACTGACCCAGCCAGGCATCCTGTCTGATCCATTATTTTCCATTCACACCTCAATCCACTCTAATCTGTCTTATACCTTCTTTTAAAATAGCCATGGGGGTACCTGGGCAGCTCAGTCGGTGAAGTGGCTGACTGGCTGACTCTTGATTTCTGCTCAGGTCAGGATCTCAGGGTCCTGGGATCGAGCCCCGCCTTCAGCCTCCGAACTCAGCACAGAGTCTTGCTCGAGATTGTCTCTCTCTGAAGTAAATAAATAAATCTTTAAAATAAAATAAAATAGCCATCAGTCACCTTCAGCTTTCTAAATTAAGGTTTTTTTATTCTTTTTATTTCTCAGCAGAATTGGACAACTGACTACTCAGTCTGCAAAAATCCCTGACCTTAAATTTCTGACGCTACTACTTTTCTGCTAAATTCTCAGCTAACCCTCTGGCTCCTAGGCAGGCTTAATCCTAAAAGGCTTGCAAGTTACAGTTTTCCTCTACCATCTTCTACTCTGTTTCAACCATTCTTTTTTTTTTTAGGTTTCAGCATTTTATTTGTTTTACTTTTTTTTTTAAGATTTATTTATTTGAGAGAGAGAGCGCGCACAAGCAGGGGAAGATCAGACAGAGAGGGAGAAGCAGGCTCCCTGCTGAGCAGGGAGCCTTATGTGGGGCTCGATCCCAGGACTCTGGGATCATGACCTGAACCGAAGGCACCCAGGCACCCCTATTTTAGTTTTTTATTTTAAATGAAGTGTAGTTAAAAAAACACAATGTGTTGGGGCGCCTGGGTGGCTCAGTCGTTAAGCGTCTGCCTTCGGCTCAGGTCATGATCCCAGGGTCCTGGATCGAGCCCCGCATCGGGCTCCATGCTCGGCAGGAAGCCTGCTTCTCCCTCTCCCCCTGCTTGTGTTCCCTCTCTCGCTGTGTCTCTCTCTGTCAAATAAAAAACAAAAAAACACAATGTGTTTCAACCATTCCTTTGACCTCAATCACCTCTTTACACTAACTGATAATACTCTGGGGCGGGGGTGCGGGGGGTAGGGGGTGGAGAAGACCATCCAAATGAGAACAAGTAAAGCCTATTTTTCAGAGCTTGCTGGAGCAAGGGAGTCAGCTACTGTCATTTGTTTTTGGCTGAGGACAAGAGATAGGCAAGGGAGTTGGAAAGTTTTGTAGTGAAAAAAGGGAAAGCTTTGGGGTATGATCTGATTGGAAGTTGTTGGTATGGGGAAGTTGGAGTTGGGCTACCTAGAAGTAGGGCTTCCTATGTGATTGGTTCGGGGTGCATATATGGCTTTCTTTCCTTAGTCCTGAATTGGAATCAGAGGACAGAAGGGGCAAAATTAGAGAACCTGGTAGTTACTGAGCAAATCTTGACCATTTGAGGCCAATTGCTACACAGGTTATGGTTTGGCTTCCTTGACTGGTTGCTATAGAGTTTGCAGGTCAGAGTTCTGTTTTATGGTCTGGCCATTGTCCATTTGTATATTCAGTCTCCCTGTTCCAGACTTATTTCATCTCTAGTTCACACCACCCAAGCCTCACTGCTGTCTGCCTTACACCAGCCTCCTCATACCTACTTTTGCTTCTCTTTTATCCATTCTTCATATTTATAGCTTCATACCACTCAAGACCCTTTAGTGATTTCTCATTACTGTTAGGATTAAAATTATAAAAAAAAATTTTTTTTTAATATTTTTAGGTAATCTCTACACCCAGCACGGGGCTTGAACTTACAACCCCAAGATCAAGAGTCTCATGCTCCACTGACTGAGCCAGCCTGGGTGCCCCAAAATAAAATTCTTTTATTTTCTTCCCAAAATAAAATTCTTAATGTAGCCCACAAAACAGTGCATAATCAAGCACTTCTCTCTCTCCAACCTTATCTGACCTGACTCACCGGCTGTGTCTGTGAGTTTTTCAAGTATGTCCTTTTTTCACTTCAGAGCTTTCACACATTTCCCTGGACATAGGATCTAGGATGTTCTAGCCCTTCTCTTCACCTAGTTTATTCCTACTCAATCAAGAAGATTTTGGTCAAATGTCACTTCACTTTTGTGTGTGTGCCATATATAACATCTCTCATTACCCTGGCCCAAGGAACTTTGGGAAGGGACTTTGGAGTTCTTTAGGTTTCATGTTTCATTATAGTGTAATTGTAGGGGCTCCTGGCTGGCTCAGTCGGTAGAACATGCGACTGGACCTCAGGGCTGTGAGTTCAAGCCCCACATTGGGTGTGGAGATTACTTAAAAATAAAATCTTAAAAGAAAAATGGGGCACCTGGGTGGCTCAGTTGGTTAAGTATCATCTTCAGCTCAGGTCATGGTCCTGGGGTCCTGGGGTCGAGCCCTGTATTGTGTTCCCTGTGCAGGGAGGAGCCTACTTCTCCCTCTTCCCCCCCCCCACCCCGCTCTCTCTCAAATAAATAAAATCGTAGAAAGAAAGGGAAATTGTGTTAGAGCTTTCACCTTTATATGTACTCATTTTTTTCTCTAATAGTAACATTTTTATATATACAAAAATTATGTATAAATATACACACATATAATTTAAACACATGTGTAATGCATTTATTACCTTGCCTCTTGAGGTTGCTAAGCTTAGATTTATTTATCTGTAGATCTGGAGGTAGTCTTTTTTTAAGTAATCTCTACACCCAGCATGGGGCTCAGACTTAACAACCCCAAGATCAAGAGTTGCAAGCTCTACCAAATGAGCCAGACAGGCACCCTGGAAGACAGTCATCTTGAATGACTCTTCAGTTTCATTGTATGAACAGCTTTAATTTATTTAACTTGGCTATTGATGGATATTTATTTATTTATGCTATTTTGAATGGTGCAATGAACATGTATGCACTCATCTTTAAACACTTGTGCATTTACTTACAAAACATTTCTAAAAGTAGAATCACTAGGACATGCATATTTTTTAATTTTTTGAGATATTCACATAATGTATAATTTACTCATTTAAGTTGTACAGTTTAATGGGTTTTACTATATTTAAGTAGTTGTGCAACATCACGATAATTGATTTGAGGCCATTTTTATCACCCCATAAAGAAGTATTCATACACATTAGCAGGCACTCCCCATTTCTCCCCAGCTCTCTGATCCTAGACAACTACTAAACTACTTTCTCTCCCTACAGATTTGCCTATTCTGGACATTTTATATAAATTTTCTTAAAATTTTTTTCTTTTATGGTCTGCTTATTTCACTTAGCTTAATGTTTTCAAGACCCATCCATATAGTAGCAGATATCAGTACTTCATTCTTTTGTAATGACGAAATAAAACTGTATAGAAAAATCACATTTTGTTTATCCAGTCATTATTATTTTCACTATTTGGTTATTAGGGATCATTCTTCTCTGAACATTCGTTTATAATTTTTTTAAGTTTATTTATTTATAATCTCTACACCCAACATGGGGCTTGAACTCATGACCCCAAGATCAAGACTTGCATGCTCTACTGACTGAGCCAGCCAGGTGCCCCTAGTTTATAAATTTTTGTTTGAACAGATGTTTTCAGTTCTCTTGGGTATATACCTAAGAGTGAAATTGCTGGGTTATATGGTTATTCTATATTTAACTTATTGAGGAACCGCCAAACTATTTTCCATAGTGGTTGCAGCATTTTACATTCCTACCAGCAGTATATAAGGGTTCCAATTTCTCCACATCCTCACCAACACTTTTTATTATAACCATCTTAGAGGTTGGTACAGTAGGTCCCTCCGACCCCCCTTATCCATGATGTTGTTGTCCATGATTTCTGTTACCTGCAGTGAACTGTGGTTCAGAAGCAGATGATCCTCCTGACCTGTCTTCAGAAGGTCAGTAGTTACCTAACACCATATCACAGTGCCTAAGTCATTCCCCTCACTTCATTTCATCACGCAGACATTGTATCATCTCACATTACTACAGGAAAGGGTGAGTATAGTATAATAAGATATTTTGAAAGAGAGACCACATTCACATAACTTTTATTATAGTTATTATAATTATTCTATTTTGTTATTAGTTATTGTTAATCTCTTACTGTTCCTGATTTATAAGTTAAATTTTATCATAGGTATGTATGAATAGAAAAAACGTAGTATATGTAGGGCTTGGCACTATCCATGGTTTCAGGTATTCACTGGGGGCCTTGGAATACATCCCTCGGGATAAGAGGGGACTACTGTATCTCATTGTGATTTTGATTTGCATTTCCCTAATGACTCATGATGTTGACGTTTTCATATACTTACTGGCCATTTGTCTATCTTCTTTGGAGAAATGTCTTTTCAAATTCTTTGCCTATTTTCCAGTTGTCTTATTTGTCTTTTTACTGGTGAGTTGTAAGAATTCTTTATATTTTGAATACAAGGACTTTATTTGCAATTATTTTCTTCCATTCTTTTAGTTGTCTTTTGACTTTCTGGGTGTTATTCTTGTTATTTTTGTTAGAGTCTGATTTGTCTATTTTTCCTTTGGTGCCTTGTGCTTTAGGCATCATGTTTTAAAACCACTGACTAGGGCGGCTGGGTGGCTCAGTTGGTTAAGTGACTGCCTTTGGCTCAGGTCATGATCCTCGAGTCCCTCGAGTCCCACTCCCTTGCTCAGTGGGCAGTTTGTTTCTCCCTCTGACCCTCCCCCCTCTGATGCTCTCTCTCATTCTCTCTCTCAAATAAATAAGTAAATAAATAAATCTTAAAAAAAAACACTGACTAATCCAAGGTTACAAATATAATTTACACCTCTGTTTTCTTCTAAGTTTTGTAGTTTTATCACTTATATTTATGGCTTGATCCATTTTTTAAAAATTCTTATTTTTATTTATTTATTTTTTAAGTAAACTTTACCCCAACATGGGGCTCGAACTCACTACTCTAAGATCAAGAGTCACATGTTCTACTAACTGAGCCAGCCTGGAGCCCCTGGCTATGATCCATTTTGAGTTAATTTTATATACGATGTAAGGAGAGAGGGAGGTCCAACCTCCTATTTGTGTGGTTATCCAGCTCTAGCACCATTTGTTTGAAAACACTATTCTTTTCCCCCCATTTAATTATGTGGGCACTATTGTTGAAAATTAATTGACCATAAATGCAAGGGTTTATTTCTGGACTCTCAGTTCTATTTCATTGATCTATATGTCATTCCTTATGCTAATACTGTTCTTTCTTGATTATTGTAGTATTATAGCAAGTTTTTTTTTTTTTTTAAGATTTTATTTATTTACTTGACAGGGAGAGAGCACTAGAGAGAGAGAGGGAG